GACGGAGCGGCGATACTTGCAGAGCTCATAGTCAGGTTTTCCATCCAGATGTGATGCAAATTTAAAGTGAAGGTCGAGGTCATTTGCAAAACAAAATACGATTAATTCCTTTAAGAAATGTTGGTTCAAGGAGAGACGTCTTCCCAAGAGGATGAGGGCCACATGTGAAGATTTGTCTCAGATCCGGCCAAAAGTGAATAGATTTTTCATGTTCGAAGATTATAGTCGATAGAAATCGGTCAGAATTCCGAGATAAGAGATCAAATTCAGAAGACGAAGAAAAAAAGAAAAGAAACGGAGAAAAAAAGACAAAATTCAGAGAAAAAAGTCAGAATTATCCGGAAAAAAGTCAGAACTCAGAGAAAAAAGTCTGGATTCTCAGAACTCTGGAAATGTTCACGTGTGTCCCTTATCCTCTCCCGTAGAAATACACTCACCAAAGAGTTTGTTTTGGACTCTTCGGCTGAAAGAATCTGCGCTTAATTTGATTTTGTTGTGAAAATAATTCATTTTTCGACCAAATGTCATAATTTCCGATGCTTGAGTGACCATCGTTCATCATTTTCAAAAAGCCTGAATAACTACTAATACTAAAGAGCTGTACATGTGAGAAAAATATGTTTTAACTTTGCATATCTAGGAATATATTATATGTATTATAACACCAATCCAGCCCCATTTTAAGGCAGGGAAGAACTTCATAACACAGTCACATATAATGGACTCTTTCCAGCGTCATAGAGACACAATCTGCGGGTACAAACGTGTTTTTAACCGGGAGATAATTGAATTTAAATGGATAATAGGAGGAGAAACTACAGCCTTTAGGATCTTGACTTGTGAGGTCATTAACCGAGGAAAATATAGACCGTGTAATTTCATACGGGAGGAGGAGGAGCACTTTAAAATTAGCGCTTGCAGGGACTGTTTTTAGACCACAGGAAAAGGACCTCACAGAAGCTATTAATCATCAAGCTGAACTCAATGAGGTGCGTTTGATTTATGACTCCACGGTTTACACAGAGTCATCAGACATGTTCATACAAGCGTTTCATTATTTCTGCATATCTCGTGTTTTTTAAGGAGGGTTGCGATTAATCTGAGGGGGTTGAAAAAGCAGGAAATAAGAAGAAATCACATTTTATTTACACAAATTATCACTTTTCTCTATTTATTCTGGCTTTGTGTGAAATATTACTCATCTTGAAATCGTCCATCAATCTGCGTAGTTGTTTTGGAAAGACCATGCAGAAGTTGCTTGAAAATATTGACATTTTACATTCTATTTAATAGAAAAGTCATTAAATTATAGTTTTCTCCACGTTTGTAGGTGCTTTGCAAAAAGGAGCTGCTAATTCGGCGTACTTTTATTGTGCCAATTTCCTCAAAATGTTAAAAAATATAGGCTAAAAATACACAACAATCTCCACACAAATCATCACGTTTCTCTATTTATGCTTTCTTTATTGTGAGTTATACATTAACTATTGTTGATTCTGACTAAACGTCCATAAATCTGCTTAGAAATCGTATTTAAAGAAAAGACCAGGTTGGCAAAAATCACATTTTTCCGTATCAAAGTGATCCCATAAAAGATGTCTGAACATTTATGGCTGCAATGCTAACACTAGCTACTATTAGCTAATTCGGCAATCTTCATTATGCCAATTTGTCAAAAATATTAACACAATATAGGCTAAAATAATGTTTGTATCGCACTTCTGACTCCATGGACTACCTATACTTCCTGTTTACTGCCCCTTAGCATTATGGGAATTGTAGTTTCTAAGCGTACATTCTATTATCCCCCACATAGAAGTCAAAATTATTGCGCTATCAACTTATATACAAAAAACAGGACTATGTGAGGACTGGGAATCAAACCTGAGACCTCTATCTGTGAGGTGACACATGTAATACACTATCTGTACACAGTATATATATTTATATGCAGTATTTATACTCAGATGTGTCTCATGTTTAGCTCCAAATAACAGGTGTGATGTGTTTTATCTCAGAGCTCAGTAAAGTTTATTTTTGCCAAATATCTTCTAATCTTTTTCTACTTTTGTATTCTTTGATATTCACTTTGTCTTCATAATGAAATCCTCTCCTGTGCCATGTTGTAGTGACTGCCGGATTCAGTCACATTAAAAAAAAATCAGACCTCATTAAAGATTTATATTTCTGCAGTTTCACGTCTGTTTACTCTGAAAAGCACCGTTTATTCATAGGAAACATTGAACACACAAACAAGTGAAAGATTTCCATGTTTTTATGATGTTTAAAATCATCAGCTTAATATATAAGATAAAATACAACTTTATGCATCCCCAACTACACTATTGCATCGATTGTGAGGAAAAAGTCAGACTTAAAGGTCACCTATCATGCTATTTTTAGGCAATAGCATAAACATGTCTTTGAAGTGTTTTGATCAAAACACCAAACAGATCATTCTAGCCATGCCTCATATCCCTCTATTCCACTTCCTGTTTCTAAAGAGCTGATTTGGGTATAAAGCTTTAAAGAGGAGGGGGCTGAGCTCATGCGGGACCCGGCAGCTACTGTCTAAACTAAATGCTGCCGTGATGAAACGCCATATCATGGATTATCAAGGATTCTCTCTGAAACAGTTTGGAGCTCAAAGGCTTTCTCTCTTGCCGGTTATACCACAAGGTGAGTTCCTTTCTACTTCCTGCTTCTTCACACACATGCTCTCCAGTACAGGTTAGCTCTGAGTGTTAGCGATGCTAATGTAAACACCGACCATATTACGTCCAAAACAGTCGGGCATTGTTTCTGATAGCAACGTTTCTGATTGGGCCGTGGGTCCACATTTCAGATATTACGTCATATCGGACGCAAATCTGGATCAGCTCCGTTGTTCCCCGTTTTTAGAGATTTGGGTACGGAGGAAAAGAGAGAGGGTTTTATTTTCTGACGTGAGTTCCCCCGACACACCGGGGACACATGGTGATGTAGACATCACAAAGTGCATTTTGCATGATAGGTGACCTTTAAATTAGCAAATCAAGTTTTTCCCTAACAAAGTGGTAAAAGGGTAGCTTTATGAAGTCTAAAAGAAAGTGATAAATGTCAAAAGTCTTCAAGATAGTGAGTTAAAAGTCTGCTATTTTAAATAACATACTTATATTATAATGAAAATAATGAGAAATGTGTCTCCTTTAGTAAGTTATTTAATATGATACGTAGTTTTTATAATGAAGAGTCTTGATTGTTACCATTAGCTTACAAGTTATTTCGTCCAGTCAGTCCAAATCAATGCATTGTATTATACACTGGACCAGTAGAAGAGTATTGTGTTTTTGTTATGTCAAGTCTTCTCAATATAACTATAATGACGGTATATTGAAAATTACAGTTTCCAGATTCAGAAGAGGCCCATGAGTCTCTTTGCTAATTATCAACGGTTTTTGCGATTATCAGCAGAAAACTGTAAAACTGACCCAATGTGAGAGGAAGCATAAAGAGCCTGAGTAGATTATAATCATTACAGAGTGTGTTGGCTAAATGTATGTGCGTCCATATAAGATGGACTTTTATTAATCCCTCGTGGGGAAATTGTTTCTCTGCATTTGACCCGTAGTGTTAGGAGCAGTGTGCTGCCATTTTGAACGGCGCCCGGGGAGCAGTGTAGGGTGCCTTGCTCAGGGACACCTCGGTAGCACTTGGTCTTGCCGGGACTTGAACTGGTGACCTTCCAGTTGCCAAGCCAAGTCCCTATCGACTTCGCCACCACCGCCCCATGGTGGTGGTGCCACGTATGTATGCTTTGTTAATTGGGAAGTTCATATCCTAACTAAGTATGAATTATACCTGAAGACGTCATGAGATAATGACCTTTAGACATCTGGAACATACATGTTGCTCTGATGTTGGTGCGTCCATTTGGAAAACATGATGTTCGTGTGTTAGTTAAACATGGTTAGGGGAAATGAGTGTGTGGTCAGCTGCTATATAGGCTGTGTGAAACTTCTACTTTGTTGGAGCATTACTGTATCGTATGCAGGGATCCTGAAGTCAAATTTAAGACCTTTTTTAAGACCCTTTCTATACATTTTAAGACCTCATCGCCTCTTCGAGTTCTAACCGGTTACCTTGGCGACACACTTTACCTCACATTCACTATATACAGTATTGATTGTCCTTCCTCCTTATCTTCCAACCATTTGGACGCAGACTTGCATTTCCCCATAACGATGTTGTTTAACAACCGGCGTAAACGGGCCTCCGCGCTATCAAGCAGTGAGCGTGCGATGTCCTGTTCAGATGACGTCAAACCCAACGGGATGCCATCAATAAACTACACAGAATCACACTACACACCTACGCCATGATTACATTCAGGCAGACTGTAGAACACAACCTCTCTGGACCATTTATATACTTATTGAAAACAAGCTACAAAATGTAATACCTTGGAAAATGCCTTTTAATACTTTTTAATAGCCTTCATTTTCGCTAAATTGATTTATCAACTTGTAATACTTTTTAAGACCCCGCGGACCCCCTGCTATCACTGCTTGAGAGCTAAGGTAATGTTTCCTCATCATTATTGTTTGGATAAAAGTGACATGTAATGTTGTACAACGAAATAATAATTTATTAACTATATCTATGTTTTATTGATTCCTCTCTGTTTCATTATTTCCTGTTGCCACAACATTTTAGTCCAGCCTCTATTTTATACAAATATTAAGAGGAATAAGCTTCTGTATCACCACACAACTTCCTAAAAGTAGATTTTTTTAATGACAAAATTCCGACACCATTAATTTCGCAATATCATCACATTTATTTAATTATATTTACATATGAACATGTGTTTATTTAAAGGTCACATCCTTCTCTGTCTGAGTCTCTTTGGCACGTCTTCACAATGAATCCAGGGGTTTCATTTACAAACTGCTTCCACTTCCTGTCGTCCTGTGCAACAGTAGCACCACAGAAGAAGAAGAAGAATCAGCTTCCTTCAATTCCTGTAGTTCTTTGATCACCATGTTTGGAGTTCAGTCGGAGCCGTCCTGGTTCTCAAGGATTGGATCTGAGGACAGAGACAGAGCCATGTGAGTAATAAAAACTCAAAATGTGCCCGTGTCAGAAAGTCAGTATGAAAGGGAATCTATTGTTATTAAAAAAAAAGCTATAACTGTCTTTAAATGATAAGAAAACATGCTCTACGCTACAGAGAAAGAGGATGAAGTAGAATTTCTGTTGATGTTTTTAAATTGGATTTGAGACTATAATAATAATAATAGAATAATATGCAACAATAAACCCTGAGTTTATTACTAATGAGATGTTTGTTACCTGTCAGGGTGCTGCTGATGTTTGGAGACACAATCAGCAAGGTGCTGCCAGACGGTGAACTTAACTCCTACACACACACACACACACACACACACACACACACACACACACACACACACACACACACACACACACACACACACACACACACACACACACACACACACACACACACACACACACACACACACACACACACACACACACACACACACACACAGCATAATGTAAGTATTGATCGTGGTTCATTATGGGCAGTGTTCAGGTAGACAGATAGATAGATTTTAAATTGAAAATATTTTAATTAAACTTGTTTCCAAATGTGTAATGGGCGCTATATACTGTACTAGGTTGGAATATGTAAATAAATACTATACTGGTAATTATATATTTATAATTTTTACAAATATCTTAAAGAAAATGTACCTTGTCAGTGAAGCCTTCTGTGATTGGCTCCTGAGTTTCCGTGATAACGCTCACAGAACCCTCAAGGAGACTCTCGTTGCCGAGGCGATCCTCCTGGTTCTGCCCCTCTTCCTCCAGCTGTGATTGGCCGAGAGGGTCTGAGGAGGCGGAGTCAGATGTGACCGTTTGGATGATGACACCGTCGCTAGAACAGAGGCCGTCAGTCTGAGGAGGAAACACAGAAAATGATCAAAATAACATAAAATAATCCCATAAAAAATACTTATTATGTATTATCACCTATATTATCAGTGCTCGAAGAAGTATTCAGGTCATTCACTTAGGTAAAAGTACTAATACCAAACAATTTGTATTGTATTTATAAACAAATAAAATGTAGTAAAAGTTCAACACAATATTTCCCTTTGAAAATGTGTGGAATACTTAAGTACAAGTACCTCAATAGTTACTTTCCGACAATTATACACGTGTTCCTATTTATACGTATTATTACTGACCGACAGGCTGTGCAGGATGATGTGTTCGTGTGATGAGGGGGAGGAGCCTGTCGTCAGGGTAACCGTGCTGTTATTGCCTAAACTCAGGCCCTGATTGGACGTCGTCTGCAGGAAGTAAGTCCCCGGGGTTCCTGTGGGCTGCAGGTGGAACGACTGGAAAACAAATACATACAAAACATAAAAACAGAGCAGTGATGGGGACACTTTTCTTTCATGAACAATTTGCTAAGACTTAAATCACAGTTATTTCAGATAGCTAGCATCTTTTTACGACAGTTAGCATCTAACATCTTCTTTCAGATTGCTAGCATTTTATTTTAGACGTCTAGCGTCTTATTTACGACAGCTAGAGAAAGCTAGCATCTTATGTCAGACAGCTAGCGTCTACTAACAGCAGATTTATCGGTATATTTATTATATGATGTTATTTACGACAGTTAGCATCTAACATCTTATTTCAGACAGCTAGTATCTTACTTACGACAGCTAGCATCTTATTCCAGACAGCTAGCGTCTTATTCCAGACAGCTAGCGTCTTATTCCAGACAGCTAGCATCTTATTCCAGACAGCTAGCGTCTTATTCCAGACAGCTAGAGAAAGCTAGCATCTTATTCCAGACAGCTAGAGACAGCTAGCGTCTTATTCCAGACAGCTAGCGTCTTATTCCAGACAGCTAGCATCTTATTCCAGACAGCTAGCGTCTTATTCCAGACAGCTAGAGAAAGCTAGCATCTTATTCCAGACAGCTAGCGTCTTATTCCAGACAGCTAGCATCTTATTCCAGACAGCTAGCATCTTATTCCAGACAGCTAGCATCTTATTCCAGACAGCTAGCGTCTTATTCCAGACAGCTAGCGTCTTATTCCAGACAGCTAGAGAAAGCTAGCATCTTATTCCAGACAGCTAGCGTCTTATTCCAGACAGCTAGAGAAAG